TGAACAGAGCTTCTGCTTTTGAGGGGGCTGCTGCTCTACGAGACTCATGTAAACAGTTTTTTATTCCCAGTTACAGTGAGGCTGTAATGCCATGCTGTGCTGTCTTCATTAGCAAAGGCAGCGGAAGAAATGGCTTTCTGTGCTTTTTATTCTCTCGATGACTTGTGCAAATTCAGGGGGTTGTGGTGTAAATCACATTAGTGAAATGATTTAGCTTAAAAATAACATTTGCCATGAGAAAGCAGGGAAAGGATTTGAAAGGGAGCCTGGATCATTATAAACTGGATTATAACCTGAATAATTTCAATGGCCTCCAGACTGCCAGCGTCATAAAGGTGGTGACATACCACGAGGTGGAATCTCTTTAAACCAGCTCTACCAATGAAGCTAAAAGCGTGAAAGATGCGTCTATTACCGAACCTGCCTTGGCAGAATACAAAATCTACAAAATAAATTGTCTAGTGTGTATATAAAGAATCCGTCACCTACCTACAACCAAAACTCAGTTCAGGTTTGGGTATATTGATTTTTATTCAGTGGGTGGGCACTGTTAGGGGACAGAAATACCTGCTACTATCACAGCCAAAGGACACAGTGCTTTAACTGTCATCTGAAAAAGGAGATGATGTTTCCTTATTCTCACTCTACCATTCTCATACTGGATACTGCTCTTTCAAAATATGGTATCACCACCATTGCAGACTCGCCCTGCTCCCTTTTTTTTTCTTGTTTGGGGGGGTGGTATGTTGTCTGTTTTTTTTTTTTTTTCTTCTGTTTAACTCTTTCTGGACTTCACATGAGAACTGAGAAAGACATCTCAAAGTAGGTATTTTAAAATAATTTTTTTTTTCTACTCTTTCAGTTTACCTTAATACCATAAGAATTCTTTGATATTTGTGAAATGCTATTTTTGATATTTCCGATTTTGAAGAATTCAAAACTGAGAGTGGCAGGATATATGTCTTCCCTTGAAAGTAATCCCTAGCATTTACAATCAATCAATTCAACAAAGGTGCTTCATTTAATGGCAAAGTTTATTCATTTTTTTAACAATTAAAAGACAAAACATTTAAAATTTGCAGTTCAAAACATGCACATTCACCAAATGCCAAATGACATGTAACACTGCATAGAACTGAACGTGTTACTAAAAGAGAATAACTATTTATAAAACACAGTGCATTTAACATTCAGTTAAAACTAAACCTGAGAAACTACCATAAACATCGAGTCAAAAAGTCTCCATTCATGCAGCTTCGTAATTTTCACAACAGTTTCAGCAGTAATGGCTTAGTGGAGCTGTAAAACCTCACTTTACCTCAAATGCAAATTTTGCTATTACGGACTGACCGCTTTCTGCAGCGGTTCATACATATCAAACACTGAAAATCTTCATGAAAAATTAAGTTGAAGTAGAAAAACAATATCAATGCATTTATGGCTTCTATTCTACAATAAAGAAACACCATAAAATATGATTTTTAAAAAAACTTGTTCTGGTCACAGCTTTGCAATTACAAATCTCTCCCTCTCTATGGAAACGCTTCATTTAAGTTAGTTTCAACCCTCCCAAGTGCCCAACTTTGCACATCGTTACTCAGATGAGTAGTCCTTATACTCACAAACAGTCCAGTTGAAGCCTATGTGAGTAACGGTTTGCATAAGCAGGAACCAGGTTTGGAATGCTAAAATATTCCTTTGTTTAATAAAGATCTGTCAGATAACAGTGAGGAAACTGGGGGATCGAGGGCAGAGGGGGGGAAGGAGAAACTCATTTGTTGAGTTTTGTTACCAGTGGAAACATCCAGTACCAAGAAAGTTGAATTGACAAACTCATTTGCTTACACAGCGCTAGCTTCTCAATATATTATGAGCAGACTTTTAACGAAGGCATTAAAAAACAGGGAACAGCAACCACCATGCATTGCTTCAAAACACTGAGCAATATTGCCTCATGCAGACAGAACGATAAACTCATCAGAACTACAAGTTCTTTTACACAATACATAAGAAAAAAAGGAAAAAAAATTCTCTCCTTAAATTTAACACATATTCCAAATTACTCACCATTCAAGATGGGTTTAAATGTAACGAAAGAAGTCTTAAGACACTTAACGCACATCTCTGTAAGACAGTGGATTTTATGGATGAGTGTGGACATATAGGAATCTTCAGCTATCTCTTAGCATTTCAAAATATTTTATTTCTCATTTTATACAAATAGAATGATGATTAAGTATAAATCTGTTGAAACTGCTTTGCAAAAATAAGTGTAAAATTAGGAAATGGCAAGAAAAAATTCCAAATACAAATTATCAATAGGTTTGTTAAAATTTGTTTCCTGTAACTTACTTTTCTGAATCATTTATATATATATATGTATATATTTAAAAATAATCGAGCAACAGTATTTATATAAGATATCTGATTTCTAAGTGGCACTCGTTCAACTTTTTTGATGGAAATTTTTAATGCTAACTTGTAACTGTTAGGCTGTGCACATGAAATAGATGGAAAAGTCCATGTGAATTCCATATTCAATACAAATTTGGATTTTCAAACAATAAGAACAGAGGCATTGTTACGAGCATTTTTGCCTAAACAGTTTTTTCTTTAAATAAACATCTGCACAATCCCCTTATTTTAACAAAGAGATGATATACTAACAGGATGGTGATATTGCAGTGTACTCAACGTGAAAATAAAGTGCATATTGTATACTTGATCTGATTTAGAAATGGGCACACATAGCTAAGATGATCTTATATTTTAAAACGGAATTGTATGAGCAATCAAAAAACGTAGTTAGAATTGCCACATTGTCTTTTTTACTATTTCCAAGAAGTGGTATCTTCCAACCACTAATTACCAGACAATAAATAACATATGGCGTGTAGATAAAAGTATAGAGACAGGAGAAAAATTCATCAGAACTAATAAAAATGAAAAATGCATTTTGTGAAATACTACTTCAAATTTGTAAAGATATAAGGATGAAATGCTGTGGTAAGACTATCTTAAAAACCTTAAATTACAGTCTAAAGATAGGATCTCAGAGCTGTTTCAGTTGCCTTCTTCCTTTTTAAGACAGTTAAACTGGGGACATACTGTGTGTTACTTTCCACAAATTGCATTACAACAGCGAGACACAATTTTATTTCATAGGAAGAATAAGAGATCATGTAAATTTCTCATTGTAAATATTTTACAATGTGTTCTAGTCCTCACGTCCTTTTCTGCAAAATGAGCAATTAAACCATTTAGAACAGAAAAAAAAATAATAAAAAAAAATTTACTCATAAAAAGAGTATGCATGGATTGAGTCATTTTATATGAGTTAAGTACACTGGAAGATTATAAAGGAGCAACAGTGTCATGGTTAATTTCAGAAATGTTTTGAAGTTGATCATTGTCCCTTGGATGACAGAAAATAGGGATCCTCATTTTAGGAAAGGGGCATGCCCTGAAATTTTTTCTTGCCTTAGGTCAAGTGATTTGGCCCTCCCATATTGATCCATCTATTTATCTATGCCTGAAATGGCTTTTCTGAAGGCAGTTCTTGTCTGCATGACTGACTGGCAGTACTGTTTCTAGTGGGATACATTCCCTTTGTCCCTGTGTCTTCTGTTTTCTGTTTAAAGATCACTCCGGGAAAGAGAGAGGAAGACACTGCATAACATGCATGTGAAATGCAGACTGCCTTCCCATTGATACGCCTTCCTAAATATGTACTTTCATATAGTGCCTTTTGTTGGGCTTTCCATGTGTATTTGTAAGTTTCTCTTGAAACGGAGCATAAGAAACTCAGATAGTGCAATGAAGTTACATGTTAAGTGTTTAGCCAGAGGAAAGGCAAGGAGGTAAAGTCAACCTTTAGTAAGTATATGACTCATGAAGGCGGGCAGAGAAAAGATGGGATTGGACGACTTGTTACTTTTGAGTTTAAATTGGATGATTTGGAGATCAAAGAGGAAGTTCTTAATCTAACAGAGCATTCAGGATGTCATTTTTCTGCTTTTCCTTCTAGCTGATCTCCATTCAAAGAAAAAAAGATCATTTCTATGTAATGTGCAGAAATTTAATTAAGAACTGCTACTACAGAAAAATGTATTTTAAATGTGATTATGGTGGCTTTTAACTCAGAATTAAACATGGACCAAAAAGCTACAAGATTTAAATTATTTCTGAAGTTGAAGTAGCTTTTCTTAGTTGATGGTTGTTGGGTGGTAAGCTAAGAAATATTAAGTATAACTACTTAAAAAAGTTGTCATGATGTTCTCATTTAACGTGTCCCTCCTTTTCTTTTTTTCCTTCTTTAAACTAGGCATGCATCTTTTTCTGCAGTCATTTCCTTTCCATTCTTCATTAAAGGTGAGAGTATATAGGTTTTCTGCATGACCAGTAGGTTGTTGTAAAGAGGCAGCTGCAGTGTATTTCACACCTTTATAGGAGGTGGCTTTAGTGCAAATAAAACAGTACATACCACAGACTAGCGAAGGGCATGCTTTGCTCTCTATTTCAATGTCTGCATTTCAAATAATTTTAGTATAAAAATGTTGAAAATTTAATTGATTTTAAAAAATAAGTTAAACTTTCTTTTGAACCTACAGTATAAGCAGATGCATATAAGCATCACAAAAATAATTAAAGTTTGCTAAAGGGAAGTAAGGCAGAGCAATTCTTAAGAATTGAACAAAATAACATGTCTACTCAATTTTACAAGGTGGCAGCCATTTTCAACATATGCAATACTAGATGAAAGTAAGGGAAACGCTTGTATAAGGCCAAAGGTGCAAAGACTTGCAGTTTTGAAAGCAAATGCCGTCAAGGCCACTCAAATTAGACTCGCGGTACTGTAAATCCTTCTCAAGTGCAGAGACTCAAGCATGCAGTTCTGAGATCAGGACTGGAGTTAATTTTCTTTCAAATTATTTCTAACAACAGAAAACATTTATGGAACTTCTTTGGCAAACGTTTTTAGGTTAGTTTGACACAAACATCTATAAACATCTTGACTCAAAATCTTTCTCAAAGAAGGTGAATTAACACCATTAGGATACTATTTTTTCAGCACTTGTTGAAATCAAAGGCTTATTATCAACTGTATTTAAATATATTAACACTTAAAAACCTTCACAGATGCTAATGGCCAGTCAATGTAAAGTACGTTTAGCGATGTGACCATTGCCTTCTGAGTATATGACCAACTTCACCGTAAAATAAGCAAGCTGGCAAGATACAAGGTAAATTCCAATCTGTTTACAAAGGCTAAGCAAATACTCATTAAAAAATTTAGAGATGTTGTGTTACAGTATAGTTGCACAGTGCTTATGTCTACTTAATACACAAATCCAAACTTTATGGAACAAGACCATCATAGATCTTTAAATCTCTGATAACTTGGCCATAGTTGCAGCTCCCAGCAAAGATCTAGTGGTCTGTCTCACAAAAGTAACTAGTAAGGCCTAAATCTCGAGCTGTGTTCCTTCACCATTCCTCAGGCCTTTGTTTTGTGGTATCGTAAGCTCTTATTACTTCAGACTGGGAAACGATTCCATTTTCATCTTGTGAGAAGGCGTAGCCATCTGCAGATACAAAACAAAACAGAAACCAATTAAGTTTTGATCAGATTTTTTTGATAAAGCTTTAATAAAAACAAATTAACAAAGGGTCAATAGAGGGGTATAATTTTCAGCAATTAGTAGGTAGAAAATCCATGCCCTTTCTTAAATAATTTTGCAATTATAAAACAGTAGGAAGAACTCTGTACGGTATCTTAGGAATGAAGAGAAACCTACTAAAGCAGGCAAAGAACATGGTCTACTGCTTCTAGGACACTGCATCTTTACTATAAACAAATGCAGTGAAAGGCAGAATTTTACTTCTATATTATTAATGGGTATTAATTTTTATCTGTTAGCGCACACTTACGAAGCAAGTTTTGCTGCAGAGAGTCAGAGCGATATAAGTTCACATGGTTCTTCTTAAAAACATTCTTCAGTAGTTGGGCTCTTTCAGTTAAGCTAGAAAGAAAGCAGACATGTGAAAAATATTTACTTACTAATTACAGTATCTCTTTATCTTTGAGTCTGTTAAATGGAAATTAATTATTAAATGAAAAGTGTCTCTTCTCCTTTTCCTTTTTTAATTATGCCTGAACTAATTATCAAGAAGATGATCAAAAGCATGTGCAAGGGCAGATTATGAAGTCCAGATACTTGGTAATGTTTTTACTCGTCACAGCACAGGCAAAACATCTGTTTGCAGCACTGTTGTGCACTGACAATACAAATAAATGAATGATATTGTTAACCTTTGAGTGTGAATCCTTTAGAAACATGTGGTGTAAAGGGAAGGCACTGGCTTCCTTGACGTAGCGTGGCCTGATTAGTGCTAGGCTGAACTACTGTCTTTCTTTTTCTTACATAAGAAAGTGCTCTTAGCCCCTACTGACACAGTACCCCAAAGGGATGGGAAAAGAAGATGGAGGGAAAGTCGTTTCTGTGGCCATCAGCTGTGTGTACAAAAACATACTGCTTCCATGAGAAGCGTTCTAGCAAGGTGTGTGCCCCATGAAACCCTAGAAGGTGTTTTTCTGGAGATCATACGCAAATAATAGACTGCTTTTACAGCTAGAGGTTGGTCACTTCACCCCATCTCCTTCCTTATCAGCAATACTGAGTCTGTTGAGTTATGTGTTTATTGTACTTTAACGTGATCGAAGTGACTCTTCATTTCAGCCCAACTAGAAAGCATAAGGAGTATTAAACAGTTTTTAAACCAAGACTCAGGCATCAGCTGAATGCCGCAAACTGTAGTGAATGAAGTAATGAATGTGTCAGGTTTCCTTACCATGCATCCTTCTTACATTTAAAGTTCTCTCAAATAGGATCCTACATTACTAAATAAATAACGATGGATTAGCCATAGCTCAGAAAGCTTTTGAAATGTGACAATTTTTATAACATATTAAAAGATATGCAAGGGACTATATTAAAAAAACCTCACACAAAACCTTCAATTTCTTCCTCTAAATTTGATACTCACTTTGAATTAGAGCTTACATTTCAGAGAAATACTGATCTATCATTTAAACATGTCCAATCCTCAAAAATCCAGTCCCTCCCCATGTGAACTGGTCTAAAAATTAGTTAGCTTAAAAAATCCTCCAAATATCTCATGTTTATTCTGAGCATATAGTGATTGGATTTTATTAGAGTTTTGCTAGATTATCAAAGTTGTCTCTTGTGTAAGGATGTAGGAATTTACTGAGTTTTCATCAGTCACATAGTTTTTAATAGTATTGTCAAATAGCTCAACAGGCTTACCTTCCCAGGCTACTGACCGGACTAAGTGGTGCAAAGAATGGAACCAGACTGCTTCCTTTACTAGATTAGCATTCAAACCATTAAATTAGAAATGCTTATTCTTTTTTCAGTAAGTATATACTTTTTACATATGAAGTTGAACCATTGTTAGTTCTCCATTCATTGGAGAGACTAATGGTCTATCTCCCCTTTCTGTTCCCCTCTAGCCTGGTGGTTAAAGCATACAGCAGAAGGTGAGAGCTTGGCTCTTCTAAGCTGGAAGATGGAAATAAATTTATTATTCCCACACTCACAAAGGAACGCTAACTGCAAAATCTACAGGGTAAGGAGAAAGGCAGGGGAAACTGCTGCTGTGGACATGTTTTGAATGAAAAAATGGAACAGAGAGGTTGGAGTACTGAGACATGCCTTACTCTCAGTGTTTTCATAAGTGAGCTCTGTGGAGACTTTTTTGTTTGCGTGATTTTCTTTTTTTTGTCCCAATTGCTCCTCTAGGCTGTGTATGAGCGTTGTTTTTTAGTTCAGAGCTACAAACTGTTAAAGTGACAAGTCCAATAAAAAATTAGAGACTGAGGTTTAAACCACAAGAATATACAGAGCGAATAAATAAATATCTTCATGTAAGATGAAAGGTCAAAGAGGTATAAAACCATATGAATACTTAGATACAGTTATCAGCTGTATCTCCTTTGCAATACATCTAAGAAATTCTTCTTAATGTGAGTTGAAATCAGCAAATTTCTATGAAATTTTTGACAGGTGTTATTTTCTAATAAAAAACTATTTTATTAAAAACATAGCAAGCATTTTTGGTACCATCACTATTGTTTGCTTGTGTTCCAGAATGAAATGTTCAGACTACTTAAATGCTAAGCACGTAAAATATTGCCTTAAGTTTTACAAGAACATGAAGTATGCACATTGCTTAGTTAATATATAATGAAGTTTCCACTGCACAGATCTGATTGCTGGTACAGAAAATACAAATAAAGTAGGAGATACATTTGGGAAAAGAAAAGTGCTTCCAGCTATTCAGGTATTAAATTCTGCTCTAATTCTGTACTTAAAGAAATACTGCAGGCTGTTTATTATGAATCACCCTGTTGCCATTCAAAAGTATATTTAAAAATCTACATGCAAAGTCAAGAAAACATGGTTTCATAATTAACCAAAAATAAATCATAGTAACCAAATGCTTATGCTTATCATATGTACCAATGTGGACATGAAGAATATTATCTATTTTTGAACGTGAAATGTATACATTTACAGGCAATTAGTCTCATTTACAGAAAAAAGATTTACTACTTCATATATTTCTGACCAACCACTTAGCTGGTCGAAAAATAATTCTAAGTGCACTGAATGAAAAACAATGATTCTATGAAGGAGCATTTGCAGTATGTATCTCCAAAGATGTTTCCACAAGTTTGGGCTGTTATACATGTTATTGTTAGGCTATGTAGTATTCAACCCAGCAAAAATATTTTTGTAGTAAATATGAATATTTTTTTCTGCTTAAGTATTATATACAAAGTATCAGAAAACTATTTTTGAACAATAGTTTATATACAAAAAGTGTCCTTTCACCTTAGTCATTTCAATTTTAAGTACAAATGGCTTTGTGACATTTGAATAACAATGGCTCTAATGACAGAAATCATACCTTTTGTGGCACAAATCTCTTAATACACTGGAGATACTCTATTATTTATGCTATCAAGGTACCCCCAAGTCAACAGTATTCCAACATGAAAGTTTACTTTTTGTTGGAAAAGTGACCATGCAAAATTCACACCTCTCTTGCTCAAGGTATGTTCTTACTTAACTGACAAATATATGTGATAAAACCAATTTCAATGTGTTACCTACAGAAGAACAGAATTAAGTGGTTTTGGACAGTTTTGGGGAAAAAATCTCATTACATATCCTTACACACACTGAAACAAAAAGATACGATAGGAATGCTCTTCCTGAGCCTTCAATGATAACAGTTTAAAAACCTTTTCAAATTAGCACTGGAAAAATAAAAGGAATGACAGATTTTAAGACCGTATTAGCATGTCCTACTTTTAAAGCATATACTAAAATACAGTAGAGATGTTTGAAGAACCATATTTTAAACTATTTCAATGTAAATGTCAATTTTTATCCTAATTTTTAAAAAAACAGCTGAAAGCACTAATTCAGAATTTAAATAGAAAATTCCCATCCTAAGATTGTTTGATAGGAAAATATCAGAAAACCTACAATTTTAGTTGTATGGATGCAGTATCAGGTCAACACAGTTCTAAAAATCTGCAACATATATATTCTGGTCGAAAAAACAGCCATAAAAATTAACACTAATATACTTCTAAGTAAATGTTCAGGTACTGTCTGATTAAAGCATCTAGCCAATAGTAGAATCCTGATCTGTTATCTGTGGAAGCTGAGCCTCTTATTTTGTGTTGTTGTATTTTTAAGATCGGAATGGAAAGAGTAGAAAAGTTCCCAAGTTATCTTTCTCAGTATTTCCCAGTTACTTCTTAATCAAACAGTGATTTACATTTTCTTAGTTTGTTTTGGCATTTTATGAAAACAAATCCCTTCTTCTGCTACAAGATAAAAAGGTTCTTCCAGAGGTATGCATGCTAGAAAAATATTATTTGGTGCTGAAGAATACACAGTAAGTTTGTCAAAAACAGCTATTTGTTCTTGCATGCAAAGCACTACGACTCAAGAATAATATACATATTTAACACAGATGTAGAGGACATTCCTTACCAATTTAACTACTTTACACTGGTAACTAGTTAATCCAGGCTTCTGCAACTTTGGAGACTCACACACCTCTACAATAGTTCAATCAAATTTCTAAAGATGCAAGCATGGTTCATCAGACCATTTCTTTAACAAAGAATACTTTCTCCATTAAGGCTGAAGTTTTGGCTCTATTACCTGAATTAAGATATAATTTTAACAAAATAATGAAGGGAATAAATCCTTAAGAGACATTAAGATGTCTAAGATCCATTGATTTCCATGTTAGGCAGATGCTTGTGTACTTAAAAGAATACAGGTCTAAAAATAATTTTGTGGAGAAGGAATGGATCTAAGACAGACATTCTGGCAAGCAACTAAACCACCTCCATGAAGTCTTCCTAACTATTTAATTGTGGGATAAAAAGACAATTATAAAACTAGTGGTGAAAATATCAAGTTCCTCTTACCTAAGTAAGACGGGATTTGGAAGACATTCTGCAGGATGAAGGAAGAGCATACTATCTAGACAACTGAAGTAAAAGTAGCTAAATTTGGGAATACAACAGAAGTCTTGGAAATGCAAGTATGGAACACTAAAAAGGCACATTACCTTACCTTCTTCTACATCTTCTACATCCACAAGATGTTTGTTCTCCTTTTAGCGCTGTCTAGTACTAGTGTCTGCTTTCTTTTCTGTAATTAGACAGACATTCTGGCAAGCAACTAAACCACCACCATTCTTTTACAACTTTTGCTCTTTGCAAAAGAGCACACAGCATAGATGGCTTGTGGCTTAAAGCTCAGCACATTGATATATGAGTTGGTTAACTTGGAGGAAGATCTTGCCCTGAAGCTGCCTCAATGAGTACTGCCGTTGGAGAGAGGCATCCATAACAAGTAATTTAGATCACCTTTAAAGGTAAGAGAACTTACTCTTGCAAGCACTAGTTGGGTCTTGCAGTGAGGAAAGAAAAGTATGCTTGATGCAGGAACCATCATCAACTAGGGGATTTTTGCAGTACTTCCAGTATGAAGCTGCTGCCACAGACAGCATACAGAGCCTGATGGGAGACACTATTCAGGTTATGTGCTCATATGTAGCCCACCACACTAGACTAGGTGTTCCACAGGTGGTGCAATGAGCTTCCAGGCCTCACAGTACCTCCCCTGGTATTTGTCTACGGTATCAGGGAAGATGAACTCGACAAAGCATTCTTGTGAAAATAATTTCTAGGAAAAGAGAAAAAGTAGGAGCAAACACTGACATGAACTGGGTATTCCACCCATTAGAAATGATGGTCATCACCTTGATATCCAATGTAATTTGGTCTCAACCTGATAAATCCTAGTAAGCTGTTTCCCACAGAACTGGAGGAGAAATATAGCAAGACTGAAGGAAAAAGGGAACTCAAGGATCTTTATGAACAAAAGGTGCTTCCTGAGAATTGAACCTACAATAAAAGAAGTGGCTGTTTGTGTTTTTTTCTGGTCTCTTTCCATGCGTACCTTGGTAGGAAAAAAGTCTTCTTGCCTAAGCCCTTTGCCATGAAGATACTAAAAACCCAGCAGTCAAAAGGAAAGAAGGAACAGGAAAATAAAGTATTGAAAGTTTTCAGCTCTTTTTAGACTTCACAAAACTTACAAAAATGAAGACAAGGAAAGAAAGCTCTAGCTCAGCCAAATGGCACTAATGAATTGGAAGGAGGGGGAGAGGGGGGGCTTTGTCATCTCATATTCTCATTCATCAAGCACTTGCTACGAGTTCAGATGGGTTAAAAAGTCTTAAACATTTTAGTGAGTGCACACCTTTATGCTCAGTTTACACCTAGAAATTGTTCAATTGTTCAGTTTTACCTTCTCCTTTTGCAAACTACCTGCCTGACCCATGAAGAAGGATGTAACAAGGGAATTCTTGTGGAGTCTTAAGTTTAATGTATATGAGGTAAGAAATAATTTTGTCAAATTTGTTTGCTCTGGAATGGGATTAGACACAAAGCCAGATTGCTCTATTCAATTTCAGCAAATCCTAGACAGATTTTGCTGTTTTCCTCTATGCTACCTGCCAAGCAGGTTTTAAAAATTTATTTCATATTTTTTATCGTGCTTATGCCCAATTTATAACTATACTAGGGAATGATGCAGGTTTAAACTCGCTTTGTATTAATTGTTAACACAGTCAAAAGTGATAGAACTAAAATCATACCTCAAGTTTGTTCCATACAGAATAACTAGAAACATAACAGTCAGCTATGAAGAAATATGCCAGTTAAAGCCTTGGGTAAAACCTACATCTAAGCATATGAAAAAACATACGGGCTTAGTAGACCTGAGAACCTCTTTACAAATGCCTTTTGTTTGTATGGATTTTGAACTTTGATACACATATAAGGCTGAAAAAATTTTTTTTTTAAAAAAATACAATCATCTACAGATTTTTACAGTACCTCTTGCCATGCACAACTGCACCGGGATCCTCAGACTTTGCTTCCAATTCCTGAACTTCATCTACCAATGTCTTAGAAGTAGCTCTCTTTACTCTATAAGTAATAGAAAATACTGCCAGATTTACTCTTCTTGAAAGTAAAAGAACAGATTGTTCTAACACTTATATAAACATTCAATTTCCAAAACTATTTTCCCACATGACTTAAAATTAAGCTTTACAAGAAATTTTAAAACAAGTCTTGATAACATATTTTATCAGTTGTTCTTGCAAATTTGAAAAAACAAATATTTATTAAAAAGACATTACAACACTGTAACATTTAAAAGAATAATAACACTTGTAATAAAGTTTGTCAAAAGCAAAAAAGGTGAAAAAATTTATATAATCACCAGAGCTGACCTTCATTTGCTTTTCTTATATTACTAATTAGAACACACATTAAAAAGTCAGTACTTTCTCCCGTAAACCTTGGCACTTCTGTACTCACACTTTGTATACTACATCAAAAAGTAAAGCTGTCATAGGAATACATAGAAGTCCCATCCAAAACACTCCAGAGCTGAACATCATAGCTGCCTGGAGGGAAAAAAGCACAAAATATGATGATGTTATGACAAGAACTAGGGAAAAAAAAACAACTTAGAAATATCAATTACTTGGTTGAGGGTATCAAAAGTAATTTTAAATTAACCATTCTGGACTCTCTAATGTGAAATAAAACTTTAACTCCTTTCTAAAATCCCCTGAGTCGCTACAGAAATCCAGTAGATAGTAAGCACTAAATCATGTCAAGAAACTAGCAGAAAGATCGCACTGCTTAACTCTTTGAGAGAGGGGGACTCTACCTCTACAACCCTGCTCTACACCACTATGCCGACTGTAGACACTTCTAGTAAAATGAGATTTATCGACAATCTACACCCCCAACCTGCACAATCTTTGTCAAAACATTATAAGCACAACTTCTTTGCAATGCACCCTAACAGGATAAAATAGTTCCTGACTCTTGACATGGATATTGGACACTGTTATGAACGTTTTGCGATTCAACTTGGATCAGAGTTATCTCCAACAGAACTCACTGTGCCACAGTTCCCACACTGCCACGGACTCCTGTTCAACAAACTGCTTAAAAATGAGAACTAAGAAAACAACTAATTAAATAATTAAGGGAGTATTCAACATATTGTTAAAGGAAGATCTAACACATTAACACATGGCGAAATATTTGCAAACAAGATCATTGCTTTTAGCTGTGTGTTTGCTTTTTTTATACACTGCTTTATATTAATACATAGAAATTTCTTCTGGTTAGAATTTAACTTGGTCTGTAAATATACTAAAACTAAAACACACTGAAAAGCTAAAGCAAACAACAATGTATGGACGATAAAGGAAAAAACCCCCTCCGATCTACCCTTGTAATTCATGCCCAAGTATATAAATAAATAATATTATGGATGCAAGGACTATGATAAATACTTAATGAAGCATATTACTGAAAGATTGTTTTGCAGTCAGTATTAAAAATACCTTTGTAATATAATTAGATTGCACAGAGATTGAAAGTAACATTGTACACAACGACACCCTTTCAAATCCTTTCCTTCATTACTTGGAGACTAATTCCTTTCAAAGGTTAAACCTCAGTATATAACTAAAATAAACAAGCTGAAATTTTAGTAATATTAATTAGCAAACAAATGCAGGCAGCTTGCAGTAGCTAAAGTCTAATTTCTGAATGCGTATACATGAACATTTTAGAATTATACTTGATCAGTTCTTGCGTAAAAACAAAAGAGAATTATTTTCAGAAAAGAAATTTCATTCTCAAATGACATTAGACAAAAAGTTCTATTTACCTTATTTTTGTATCCAAATTCCTACTGACAGATTCTTTGGAAAACATTAGAATGCATTTGAACTGAAAATTTGGTAAACTTTCCACAGCTACGATAAAAGGACATAGATCTTGCCCTGAGATCTTAGTAATTATTTCTGCCAACAGCTGTCAGCAAAGGTGTAAACACTGAGCAGTGCCAGGTTCAAAATAAAACAATTAATATTTTCAACGGAGGAAACAAAGAAGAAAATTTTGTATCAGGAACTGGAGAAAATGTATTAGCCTCGTCGCTTTATAAGCAAAACATGACTTTTGACATACTTGATGAAATACTCATTTCCTAAAACAGCAGCTAATAGGAAATGTCTATCACAACGACATTTTGCAAGACTTCTTATAATTAACTAGCAATTAGAGAGACAAAGTTCCTACGAAACAAGAAAAAGCATTACAAAAATACAACTTGAAGTAATTATGACTTACTTCCTATTATTAACAACATTTTTTAATTTATAAGAAGGTAGCAATGAGCTGTCCTTGCGTTAGCCACCCTGTATTAAATGTTTGCTGGTGAAACAGCAAAAGTGATAATGTAGGTCTTAGGATGTTAATTCTGACCATTGTAATGCTAACTATGAATGAAGGAACAACTGGCGCCTACTATTCAGTCCATCCAGCCTTTGGCTTTACAAATGAACAACATGAATTGAAGAAAAAAAAAAAGTTTTTCTGCGTCATATTTGAAAGCCTGTCAGATTTTTTTTTTTCTTTTACAGAGTTAATCCAAACCTAAAAGATTTAAAGCCGACATTCGCATTAAAGACAGAGGGCCTCTTTGTATTTTTTGGATGAAGAGGGGAAAAAATAAAATCCCACAGAGGTATTTCCTTCCTTTCTGTACAAGAAAGCTCGCCCCTCACTCTGTAGAAAACATTTTTGTCTCTAACTTTTCACATCTCTCTACACATAGGCAGGTCATCTGGGAAATGGCAAACCAATCCTTTTCAGACAATGGCACTAACAGGAGCAGCCTGTTCTGGGGACGGACTCTGGCTGCCTCTGTTCGTGGTTTACAAATTGTTCCTAATGTGAGAGATTTGTGGTCTATGCCAAGTTTTCCCCCTTTAGGCCTTGTGAAACCAAATGGAATCTGCCACAAAAGTGGCTCCCAGGGGAATTCAGAAGTAATCCAAAATGAGAGCTGGGAAGCCTAGTTTATTGTAGGACTTACAAATCCTGCAGGGAGGATAAATAATTTGTCGTCTGTGGAGCTCATGCTCAATATTAGGACTTTCTAAAGTGAATTAACATTGCTTATTAAGTGCATTGTACAGATTTTTATATAAGTTCTCATTTTTTAAAAAAGAAAGAAAATGCTGAGAACTACTCCCTTTCATGGCTTAGTGGCAGACTAGAAATCCTGGCTGCAAAACATTTTTAATGCACTGATGAAGATGTACTCTTAGGAAATCACATGCCAAAATGAACAGAGAATATTCCCTTTTTCTTCACTATGAAATGTTCTACTGACACGAAAGCTAGCTCAGATTTTAAAAAGCCTTCTGAACGTAAAGAGAAAAGATGAAAATAACAGTAAAATTCTTGCTGCAGAAAAGCTTATGAAAACCATTTTCAGTTTATCTATTTCAGGTATTGTCTAGGTATGTGTCCTCTTCTCATAAACTGCAGAACTATTAAAATAATACCTCCTCAATACCATCAGGCCAACTACAGTTTCTCTACTCGACAATCTGCAGAGACAACTTCATTGCTTTTTCTTATTTGTACGTGTTTGCCTTCATACATGCCAAAGTACTTACTGTTATAATATTAAATCTGATTTGCATTTAACTTCCAGTGCAATTAACTTCTGAGTTCTTGTAACACCTCTAGTCTGTCTTTGCTATTTAGAATTTAAAAAAAAATCTCATAGGTCCGATTAATTAAGAACTAAGTAGGAACTCTGCTTATTAGGTATATTGAAAAGGGAGTCCCTCCATTTTCTGCAAAATACATTCAAAAGAAAACAAAACTTTACTGGTATACAATACACAGTAAGAGGTGCTGAAACAGAGGGAGTACCAGGCAGTCAGGAAACAGAAACTGTGGATATCTGAAGGTACTATCTGTAAGTTCTTACTTGAACAAATCTCCTATGAGATGAGAAAAGTGAGCAAAGATAGACTAAGTAACATGCCTTCACTTTTCCCTACTGCCTCTCATTTTCTTCAGCTGAGGATACTACTAGTCCCTTACAAGATCACAGATTTCCTCCCTGCAGGTGGGTATGAAGGATGGAAAGTACCCCACAGAGGCACGATTAAGATTCTGGTCTTTATATAAAGGCAAATAATAATATTCTAAATAACAAAAACATGTATATACAAAAGCTTACAAGCACAGACATGTACTATAAATCCTAAAGCTTCACAAAGTACCTCTATGGTGACACAGAGTATATAAACATTAATGAAGCCAGACAGAGCAATACAGAGAATTAACTGAGACTTAGGTCTCCTCCTACAGATGTATCCTTAGTTCAGTCCCTTGTTTCGATTAATATTTTAATATTCAAAGTATCCATTGGAACACACATCTTGTTTTTTCCTAAAAAAAAGCCAGCACATTGTGTCTTCTGATCTAGTAAATACTTGATTATTCCATACAAAGCAGAACATCAGAAGACAGTTCTAGTTCTGTGTTCAGTCACTCTTTCAGCAGAAAGCATTACCATGAAAGGTGCAAAGCACAGAGAAACTTAAATCTGGCTTTTGAGTAACATTCATTTTGGGTGAATGTTCTAGTATTTAACAGGTATTTTAAAAAACATAGGTAATAAGGGTCTAACTGTGGGAGGTAGTTCAGGTTTGTGAATTATTAGATTCACATTTATCTCTAACCACAGTAAGGCTTTTAAGCCCAAAAAGGGATGAAATGCAAGACTGCACCTCATTACATGTTCTTGAGGCTAGCTTAGAGTGGTTGCTCATTTTCACTTTGTGAATTAAGTTCACAGGCATCTAATTCCATCCTTGCATTTTATGAAAGCCTAGGTTACCTCAATAGGTAGTTCACATTTGGAAAAAAACCCTGAACAAACCAGCAATAAATCATGGTGCCAGGAATAGCTCTTATGGTGAGAAATTATCAGTTGCTATCTCTGTTGACGTAGACAGAAAGAGTGATGGAAGTGCTTCCAAAGATAAAGAACAAGAAACGAGTAAAGAAAAAAAGCTTCACAATAAATATGAATACCTGAAAATTCCCTCAAAAAGCTGGAAAAGAGAATGACATACAAACAAAAAAAAAAAGCTTCCCCAAGAATTAGGAAGAGAAGCAGGTTCTGTTAGCAAAAGTTTGGCTAACAAGGTTGCACTATAGATTGGAACTAACTAATTGAAAAAATACCTTTAGAAAATTAAAGAGAATTAGCCACCTGGATGTGAAATTAGACAAGCTAGAAAATATTAGCAAGGTGAGATTTATCACACTACTTTTAATCGTGCTTGTAATCAGAGGACATTAGTTACAAGAAAAGGCTAGACCATTCTCTTTTGTCTCAGAGTAAAAGACTTACAGGGAAACCTATCTGAGTTGATCCAAAGATGACATAATAAATAGTATCTGGCAAAGGAGATGTAAAACCACTATGAGCAGATGTGTTCTGGTGGTTCTACAGTTTGTTACCAGGATAGGACTGTCTGCACTGTAATAGTTGTAACAGGAAGGAGCA